ACCCAACAGGGCACTATCCCCCGGGTCTATCTCTCTTTTTTTTTTTTTAAGATAGATATACCGATGGTAATGGCCAATAGGTGAGAGGGATCGATGGTAACGATGAAATCGAGCTCCGGGAATTCTTGAACAAAATTATGGGCTTCCTGTTGTGGTCCTCATTTGCATTTTATCCGGAGGAGGAGAGCAAAAAGAGGAGATGTAATTAAGGATATCCACATGGATTTTCTGATTTTCAATCTACTAATTTATGTTGTATTTTTTTATCACTGGTTTTTTAAACAGTAGATTTATTTTTAAAAAATGAGCGTAAATAATATTTTTTAAATATTCAATCCCTACCAGAAAATCCGTGTGAGAATAAATAATTATCCAAGAAATTATTAAAAAAAAAGGAATTGCACTCTACGATATCCGCGCGTAATAAAATCAGAGCCCAAAAAATGAAGGACAAATCCTCGCCTATTAATTCCCAATAAAAAAAATCATTCTCCCCCCTCCTCAAAAAATCCATTCAAAATTGGCGCGTGAAAGCAATGGCCGTCATCTGGTATCGTATTTGTGTGTAGAGAGAGCGCGTGATGTTTCCATTCAATCGAAACTTCAATGATAGCTTCCATCCATTCATAAAAACCCCGAGGCGGAAATTTATTTGACCGAGGAGCCGCCAGATGTCGTCTCCATCGCACAACATCTCCCTCTCATTTCCACAGGAATTGCCATGTATCCCCTACCCCCTCGTTCCCCCCCTGCGCCATTGAAAAACCCGTGGGAGGGGACATGTGCGTATGATTTCCTTCCTACCCCCGGCCCCCCCGACCCTCACCCAGCACTCACCCACTGGTGTAACGTCGGCCAATGAGACACTCAAGCCGACGATTCAGTCGTTCGCCGGTGGCCGATGCGCGCGCATCGCACCACAAAACCCGGGAATTTCAACTGAGCGTTTTTCGTGATTAATTAAAAATCAATTGAAAATTTGTTGAGAATATAAATAATTTGGTTTTTGTGACTTTTGGTGGAGGCTGGATTAATTTGTCAATAGTGAATCTGGACGGTGGGAAAATTAATGAATAACTCCGGATTAAATCGTGAGATCGGGGGTAATTGTTCAAGTGTTCTGGCGGATTTATATGAATTATCAGTGGAGTGGATTAATCCAGTGATTAAGGGTTTTTTCCCGGTGGTTGAGCCGGTGGTGATTAGCAGTGCTGGAGACGGACGGGAATACTTCCGTGGGAAGACAACGTCCTGCGGGTAATTTACGGTTATTTTCGGGAGAGAATTTTTTGGGAAGAAGTCAATCGGAATTTTTTTTTGAGGTGTTACAGATTTTATTGTGATGGTGGACCACTCGGTTTTGATGAATTTTGATAGTCGGGGATATTCGGGCGATAATTTTTTTAATTACACTGAGGGATTATTTATCCCTTCAATTATTCATTGACGGATTTATGAGGAATCCCCTCTCCCGCTCATTCCAAAATTCTCATTCATCCGCTGAATTCCAGACAATTTAAACGCTTAATTGACGTTTCACATTTTCTATCCACCAGATTCTCAGTTTCTCGATGAAAATTGTAGAGTTAAAAAGTAACTCTTGAATTTTTTAAACGACCGGGAATTCTCGAGAATTTGTCATCATCGAATCGGTTAATTCCCTCCACCCAATCTTTGAAAAATGGCAAAAAAAAAACTCGATTTCCCTGAATTTTTTTTTCATCCCCAGATGAACCAATAAATTTACCGAATATCTCCAATCAAAATTAATTACAATCCGCACAATTAAAAATTCCTAAAACATGTCAATTTAAATACCCCTAATTAAGACCTCAAGATCTTCAACCCAAAATTTTTTTTTCCATTCACTGGTCCCATCAAACCGAAGAGTCAACACCTCAAAAATCAAAACCGAAAAAAAAATCTTAATTACCCCCAAGATTTGAAACTTGCAGGCCCATTAAATTTATTTAATCTCATTTATTTATTTATCGTTTATCTCGAAGGAAGTGAGCCAATCGTTGAATTCAGTAGGTGAAACTGTTTCTTATACTATCGCTTACAAAATTTTCAAGGCATTATCTTGGCGATTCAACTCGATTGTATATAGTTGACTTGAAGGCTCTGACCTGTGGCAATCGCTGCGCTCAAACGATTCTCGCGGGGTGGTGGGTGGCGGGAGGGGGCGGGAGTCTAGAGGAAAAGGGGGGTTTTGAGGGGGACTAGGCGGTTGGGCTTGAGGTCCCCGATAGCCACATTCCATTCGTCGAGCGTCGGCCTGAATGGTACGCTTGTTTCCAAACCCCCGCCAACGTATTTTATATGATGGAAGGAAGCGTCTCAAGATAGATACGAAAACTATCTTGTCTCTCAGTGCAATACCAACGGAAAATACACGTCTCTTCGAATAGACCAGCTCGACCTCCCTAGAACACGCCAATGGGTTTTTTATTGGCGCTCATTGTTTCGGTCTTGGGACTGACACTTGAATTTTTTTATTTTTCAGTTTCTCATTTTATTTTCGTTTATTATTTTTTATTTATTTTATTATTGATTTCTTGGGAAAAATTTTGAGGATTTTGGATAGAGCGACAGATGCTGCGGGAATTTTTTGGGGAGTCAGTGGAGATGTTGTTAAAATTGGAAAAAAAAATTAATTAGAATTTATAATTATAAGTTGAATAAAATTTTATTTATATATATATTCTATTTTTTTTTAATCTAGTCGAATTTCGTAATTTCAACGGATGACATATAATTATTTATTTGAAGACAATAATTTTTATGAGATGAGTTGTGGGGGAAAAGGGTGACACTTTTGGGTACATCTGGATTTTTTGAAAATGGATAAAAAAATCGAGGGAGATGGGATGAAAGTAGGCCTGTATGTGTTGTTTAATGGAGAAAAGGGGAAAATAGGATTGGGTATAAGTTGGAATTGCGTGGGCGAATGGAGTGGGCGCCTTGGGCACCGCGACGCCCACGAATGGGCGCCCACCGAGACACCAGACCATCTCTTCGTTTCAAACTCTCAACGTTTAGCCAGTACGTGTGTATTATGGATATGTCCATATACCAGAGCGAGAGGCCACTATTACACCAGACGTTTATATTCAACCGGGAGTGATAAAGACCCCACCGTTGATAGAAATAAAAACTGCCACAGCTTTTTTAAATTACACACCTATTGTCAGCCCACATGTGTCCACAACTGCCACTTCGAGATAACTCATACCGATGTGACAAGTGATTTTCACCAATTTCACTTCATTTTTTTCACCATCGAAGACATATCGACTAAAATTCTGTTTTCAATGCGAAATTTATCGGAAAATTAAAAGAAAAAATTTCGATTCCCCCAAAAATTCTATATGGATTAATAAATTAATGAAAAAATATGAAATTGATATCGAAAAATAAATTGATAATGAAAATTTACAAAGATAATTCCCCCTCGAAAACGGGGGATTTTAAATATTGAAAAAAAGAGCGATTGGAATCTTTTCGCCCAAAGAAATCGGCAGAATCTTGCAAGGTGGGCAGAAGAAAAAAAAAATCTGGTAAGGGTCCCTGGCTCATTTACCTGGTGGCTCGGAGTACAATGAAAATGCCCAGGAGGATATCCCCCCGGAGAAACGGTACCGATACGTGCGCACGACCATCTGTCCCTCTTCCTCTCGATTCGGCCCCATCTTTTTTTTTTTTTCTTCCGAGCATCTTCAGGGGATTTTGCACGCATCTGCCCCGAATTCCCGAGAAGTCTCATTCAAGCGACCGGATACCACTGACTTTACCTGAGGGTTGGACCTCCCCGCATTTTTTTAACCTCTTCCTTTTATTTATTTTCTCGAATTTCGCCGGGACAACCCCCCGATAAAATGAATTCTTGGCTTTTTACCTGCCCCAGAACCACTTCCAGATTTCCATCCCAAGCTTCTTCCTGTAATTTTTCATCTATTTACCCTCAACCAAAAAACAATTGTCTTACCTTTCCCTTTAGACGAACCAATTTATTTATTATTGATCAATTGAGTTTTTTGGAGAGAATAAACAAGTGGTCGTTTGATTTATTCGGATAATTTATTTATTAATTTTTTAAATAGCCGTCTTGGGGCTAATTAATTCGTGAGAAGTGCGAGGGGTGAGGGGTTGGGATAGGGGAATTCTGAAATATTTAGTGGAGTTAATTCGGCGTGGGTCGTCTTACATGTTAAATGGTACACGCCAGTTTATCTTTATAATGGACAATAATAGATTGTACCGTCTGACAAAAATAGATGCGGGCGCAATAATAGAAATACTCAACTCTGGGGTAACGATGCAATCCTGAAATATTCTTGAAACTCGTTTTATCACTATTGTGGAGGGAAATTGTCGACTGGTCACAATACTGGTTTTGTTAATGGAGAGGGGAGCAGTTTTACCGAGTTTACGGGAAAATTAATGTCTCGTATAATTAAGACGGGAGGAATTGATGGGGTGGTGGGATACTGAGCGGAATTTAATGTTGAATTGTGGTGGAAACGGTCTTTGGTTACTCACCAGTGTTCAATTTCAATGTTTCGAGTTAGGTATTATCGATAATATCCGAGAGTGATACGGCTGGAGTATTTTCGTACTCGTGACTTGTGTCGAGAACATTTGGATTGAGTTTCGAGAGCACGAGGGGGTGTTCAAGAGGCAATAACTGTAGATTGGCTCAGTTGAATTTGATACATGCTATATATTCTTGGAGATATTTAAATAAGCTTTAAAATGAGAGCTGACAAGTTATAATCGCATCGTTAGAACCGGAGATATTGTTGGTGAAGTTGAGGAACTCAAGAATTTCTCGTGTCAAGCGAATAAAAGACCGAATGACAGACAGGGGCTTGATGAATGTTAATTATTTTTTAAGGTATTTAAAAATTTCAGCAATGAGAGCCCGGGAATGTTGATAAAGTTGAACCCCAGAGAGTCAAATAAATATCTAAAAAATGGTATTGTTTTGATAATTGCAGGTGGGGATGAAGTGCGTGTTGCGAGGGCGGGTAGCGGCCGGGAGACAAATGGACCAATCCGTGGATTATCATCACCGCGTGGCGGTTGGTCAGTGCGTGCTGGTACCTCATCATCAACCCCATCCCCAACAGCATCCAACCAATTACAATGGAACGATCGTATCACCGTATCACCACTACCATCGCACCGTGAATGTCCACCAGTACCCCAGTCGATCACATCATCAGGCAATTCACAGTCATCAAATAACCAGGGTGTGTCGAACCCCAGATGGCCGGAGCGTTTAGAACTCCGGGGAGTATCACCACTGATGTCAACAAATGGACAAAATACGCCGTCACGGCCGCCCTCGTCGGCCTCAAGCGGCTCATCAACTAGTAATTTACCACGTGTCCACGGGCACGATCACACGAGGCCATTGCCACCACCGAGATTGGAGCAAGTGCCCCAGGTCTCCACAATAGTTGTACCATTAACAGCACCACTGACACCTCTATCAACATCAAGCAGTTTTAGATCGCGTGCACCACTTGCAGCCCTCAACGACAGCATCCTATCGTCATCGCGAAACGAAAGAACTCAAGTTGGTGAAGTCACCCTTACAGTGCCACGTCCCGACGGTGAAAGGGCTGTTAACGAGTACGTGGAAACACCATTCAGACAGCAGCAACAGCAACAGCTACAGCAGCAGCAGCAGCAGCAGCAGCAACAGCAACAGCAACAGCAACAGCAGCAGCAGCAGCAGCAACAGCAGCCGGAACAGCAGAATTCGAATCCGAATCAGCATCAGCGACAGCAGCAGCACCAGCCAGCACCAAATTTATCGAGTCAAAAGTGCCTGAAGAACGAGAGGAGGCATCACCATCATCAGCCCAATCAGCACAAGAGTGATGGACGAATCCATCCACGAAGACATCAACAGACACTACTCCAATCATCACCAGGTGCACCAGTTACTAAACAACCAGTGTCATTTACCAAGGAGCCAGCCAGTACTATAACACCTGGCACTATTGGTATACGTCCTAATGACCCTAGTCTATCGATAATGTGCGATTTTTGTGGCAAGTGCAGGTGTGAATCATGCAGGGAGCCACCGCCATTGCCAAGCCGTTGGCTATGCGATAATACGTGTTTCTGTTCAGCTGAGACTGCACTGGATTATGCATCGTGTTTGTGTTGCGTTAAGGGGTTGTTTTATCATTGTGGGGATACTGGGAGTGGTGGGGACTCGGAAGCTGGGGGTAGCTGTGCTGATGAGCCTTGCTCTTGCTCAGGATCTAGAAAGGGATCGAGGTGGGCATGTTTGGCAGCATTGACTATGGTTTTACCCTGTCTATTGTGCTACTGGCCACTCAAAGGTTGCGTTACTATCTGTGAGGCTTGCTATGCAAGACATGCTGCACAGGGATGCAGATGTGATCCCAATGCTAGGCATCGCAATGATAACGATATCCTAGTTGCCAGGGACTCCAGAGATCCTGAGAAGAGACTACTCGATCCTGTTACCCCCGAATTGTGAGATTTTTAACCGTTTTTTTTTTTTGTTTTCCTTCTTTCCTCTCTCTCTCTCTCTTTCTCTCTCTCTCTCTTAAGGACGTATCTGTGAGGATTTTTGTTTTACGGAAAGTACCAAAGTGAGGATTAGAGTGGATTTTAAGTTGTGTGTATTGATAAAGGAACGCGAGTTTGGGAGATACAAGTGCGCTATTAGTACAAGAGTTGCATTTAAGGGCGATTTGGGAAGGACTGTTTATTTTTGGATGCCCAAGTGTCGTTTTTTCTCATATTTTTTTTTTGTATTTATTATTTTTTTTTTTTTCGTTCTTTCTTTTGAGGGACTTCGGGCGGAATGAAGTGTGCGATATTTCTTTTTGTCGGGGGTGAATGCGCTCTCGGAGAATGGACAAATTACCGGATTCTGCGTTGTGGGAAGGGAAAAGAAATATTATGAGTCACACATACACACAGATTTAAACAGAGACATGTACACGACACTTACAGCATAGATAGCGGTATATATTATAAATATATAGATAACTATATGATGCAAGGAATAAGAAAACACGCAAAACAAGAAATTAAATATATTGTATATTACATTTGTATAAAGCAAACATAAAAAAAAAAAACTTTTCTACAGTTTAATTTATTCGTGGGCGTCGTCGATATATGAGACCGCGGCAGGCTCCAGGTAGAGGAAATCAGTGGATTTTTTTTTTGGTTTTGTAGTGCGAGAAAAATTCTGAAAATTCGGGTGAACCCAATGTAAGCGTTACGTTGAATTTCTAGAATTTTTTTTTTTCAATCATGCCTGATGTTGGTGGCAAAATTTTGGGGTGAATTTCAGATGAAATTGGGGAGATTTCAGGCGATTGCTGATGAGTGAACAGATGAGAGAAATGGGGAAAAAGGCGTCGGGTGGGTTCGACTTTATTAATTTTCTTTCCAGTATTATCTAGTCTTGTGAACGTTTCGTCAACGTGGGAAACGAGGAAGCAGGTTTTCCCTCATTCTGACAAAAAATGAATAGATGGAGAAAAAAAAATGAATGAAAGGGTGCAGGAGTGGTACGAGGGGAGAGGCCATTCGTACGCTCTTACACTGTGGTATCGCCATTTTGTTTTAAAACCGACTAATTAATTGCCTTTTTAATCAGGGAAAGCCTGTGTGTGTATGTGTGCATAAGAATGGGAGAAATGTTTACAAAGCAAAATAAATATATATATTAATTAGAGCACGAATTTTGTTTTTCTAACCAACATGTAATCTCTTTCGGTTCGAGGCGTATTTATAATTGAAATTAATTTAATAACTTATTCGACAACTAGTGGAAATGTTGAAAATTCGAAAAAAAAAGATATATATATAAATTGAATACAACACGTGGTAGACTCGAGCCAGAAGTAGATAAGGAAAACCAGGGAAATTATTAAATCCGCATATACACACAAAAATCTAGGGCTTTAGGATGTTGTAGATATGAAACTGCAAGGGTGAAGATATTTTCCATTATTTCGATGTTTTTTCTTGTCTTTTAACTTGCAGTTTTATTCTTAAATGGAGAAAAATGAATAGGAAAACGTACCACAGACAAAATGCTAAAACTATACTCTGTATGCGGACACGTTGATGTATAAAGTAATGAAAAAACAACACGATGTTTAAAATGAAAAACAATACAAAAATTAAGATAGATAGGTGTGAGTGAGTGGATGATTGTGAGCGATAAACCCAAGCTATTCAAATTCAAATGAATGAGTTCAGTAGCCGAGAGGTTCAGAGGTTAATCGAACAACAATAATGACAATATCTCGGAATCTGATGGAGATATTGAAATTTTTTGTAGGACATTTGTTGTTCAGCGGATTGAGAGGTACAAAAAAGGTCGTCACAAAAATCTCACTATCTCCCGTTCATTCCGAGTTATTCCTCGAAAACTTTTCTATTAGTCAAATCAATTTTTTACCGAGTTGACTCGTTTCTCGGTCGAGTTTTCGGGAGATATCTCTGAATCTGGGCTAGATAGCGAGATTTTCATTGGAACCTTTTTTGCAGAGTGAAAGAGCCTTTGCAAAAAAGGTTCTCACCAAAATTTCGCTGTCACCGTGGGATTCTGAGATATCCCTCGATTATTCAACCATCCGCCAAATCGACTTCTTTTATCTCTTGGCTACTGATTTTATTTTATTCAGGGGAAAATTCACTCGAGACGAGTTCAGAATTTTTCCCCGAAAAGAGTGAACACTGGAATCATTAACATGAATGATACTGAATACATTAAAATTACATTAAAAAAAAATAGAGACTCGCCGAACGAAAAAGAAAAACCCAAAAGGAAACACCCCTTCACGTTAACGTTTAAGCCTACACGCTCTGTATATGTCTTGTAAATATATATTTGAAAAAATCGATAAAAAAAAAAGTCTTATCACTGTTCCATTTATCGTCGATAGCCAGAGGTAATTATAATTCATTCACAAATTTATCCTCATTACCCACTTCCTGCTCTCCCATTGAAAACCAGAAAAAATAAATAAAAAAAAAAAATCGAATGAAATTGATAAAGTCTCATTCATAAATTCCCGAGCATCAGTATTCACCAGATTATTCGGTTATTTTTCCTCGAACTCATGTGAAATAGACCGTAAATGGAGGAAAAATTTATTCGACCTCGTGAATGGTTTAATGGATTTACGACGACACGATTCTACTCTCTGTGAATGGAGAGGGGTCGTCGCACTGAGGGAACTCGGTTAATTATCCATCTCCTAGTACTCACAGCCCCTCCCCCCCCTCCCCGTTCCCCCCCATAATAATTGAAATCAATGGACGGACGATGGATTATCGTTGAATTGTAAAATTCATTGGCATGGAGAAATGAAGTGACTGGTGGCTTTGAGAATGAAACTCTGGCCGGATGTGACGTGGCGCGTTGGTAGTTGTGGAGTGCGAGGGGGAATGGGGGGAGGAGAAAAAAAAATGTTGAAGAATAAAAAAGCGACAGACCGTGGGAGAGGGGGGAGAGAGGGCGGTGAGGAGAGTGGGACCACCGGAAACGCCAGTTAGGCGAGCGGGCCGCATCCGCCCGACTTGAGAATGGATCTAATGCCTCTCGATTCACAACAGGGTACACAACTTCAACGCTTCAACATGTTTCAATCAAATGGATAATTGATTTTTACCATGGGGAAATTATCTGGGAATTTGAGACTCGTTTGAAGTCAAACTCGAAGTCGTTTGACGCATTTGCATGACGGAGTAAAATGTATTGGAGATACATTGGTGGATTGATCGTTTTATTTTGGTTATTTATTGGTAATTAAAAAATTTGAAAATTTTATGGAGTGGACAATTCTTCGTTATTTGTGAAATTATTTGGAATTCGATACGCAATTCACCAGAATTTTTATTGACTTTTGGATTAATTTTGTAGTGATTATTATCAGCTGGCAAAATTTGAGGTGATGAGTTTCTTAATTAATTGCTATTTTATAATCTGGAAAATTCACATCAATTGATATAAATATTTGTCTACGCGGTGAGTGCAATTGGCGGAGATACTGAAATTGAAAAATGAAATTTAACTGGATATCGTATTGAAAATTCTCTGTCGTTTCCGCCTTGATCTGGTTCTCTGGATATTCTCTGTGGAAGCCCCTGGAATAACCGAGAAGAGAGAGGAGAGTCGATGGAGCGAGAAGTGGTGGGGATTCGTTCACGGAAATGCAATTCTCCGAAGGACCTCAGAACCCCACTGACAATGCCCCATGACGTCCTCCTCAATCCATGCTGAATCCATTAAGCAAAGAGAGGAAGAAACGAGAACAAAAAAAAAAGACTTCATCTCCTCTCAGTCACACGCGTGCAGCGATTCCAGTTGAATTTCAAATTTCGCGGGCTGCCACAGCTGGACCGGAAGTCGCTGGATAATAGTTCCCGGGGAATCCCCCGCCCCTCTCGCCCTCATTAATCTTTTCCCGGTAAAACCCTCCAATTCATCAATTTTCAATTATTTTATCTTATTTATTATTCATTAGCAGTTTTTCGTGATTGAAAAATAAGGAAAAATAAATAAATAAATGAATAAATTCGAAGGTATTACTGAGATATTTAATGATCGATGAAAAATCTCCCAAAAAAATAATGTCCGCTAATTGAAAACTAATTGGAATGTAATTATTGTCGCGGGGCGCACCTGCCGTTAATTTCTTGTTTTGGGCGGGAATTTTGACTCGCAAGATTACATGTTTTATTTTAGTTGTGTATGGGATGGGCTGGGACGTGGGGTTTGGAGTGCGCTAAAGTTCTCGGTGTATCCAGGAACGTGGTAGTTATTAAGTAGCGGATGCGACGGGCTAAGAATAAGGAGAAAGAAAAATAACCGGCTGCCCCGCCAGCTACTTTGCTCACGTGACCGGAAGTTGGAGCCCTCCCCGACTCGATCGTGGCATCATTCTTTGGATAGCTGTCTCTCGCTTTTCAGAGAGGTGGTGCTGCTCAATGAAAATGGCCTTGTCCACTTTCGGAGGATTATTTCCCCACGAGGGATAAAAAACAATGTTATAAACAATTATAATAACTTTTGAATAAAATTTTTTTCAATCTTCACTTCCAATTGCATATATTTGCGTGAAATGCCTATCATGAAACCACCAAGAGTTCCGACGTTTTCCGCCATTTTGATCGGTGGAAGGGCGGTGAACAAAATGGCGGAAAGCATCGGGTAATTCCGTATTGAAAAAAAATAAATGCATGATAATTTTTTCTGTCTTTACTGTTTTAATTCAGGGGAATCAGATTTTTTTTTTTTGGAAAAAATAAATTCGACTGTCTTAACGTCAAAAATCGAGACACTGATTTGGGAGTGGACAATGAGATGTAAAATGTGAGGAGATACAACAAGTGTACAGGTTAGTCGAGTTGGAGAAGCGTTTGGACCGGAAACAGTTACTTGTTGCTGCCACGAAAATATCAGCGCTCGTTTCGCAATCGTCCGAGTGTTTGGTTCTTTGCTGGGTTTAATATAGAAACAACTTGGGCGCATGCCTCAGCGCAAAAACATCGGTGTTGTGGGTTCTTAGTTGAAAAAGGGGGTCGCCAAATTATCGGGGAAGGGGAGACCTCTTGTTTTTCGCAATATTGCGATTTCGGCCGGAAACTAACGTGGCTTCAATGAAACTCGCGTATGCAATATTTTCAAGGGGAAATAACTCATTTTTTAATGGGTGACGTCAATCAAGAATTGTTACTATTTCCAGGCACTCCTGATATCCACCAATCACCAGATACTCATTATCAATTTATTGACGAGTAAAAAAAATTTTTTTTAAGTGATTTTTTCATTTTCTGGAGAATTAAAAAAAAATATTTTGTTTTATAGAAAAAAATTATAATTTCATGCTGAAAACAATGAATCAATTCTTTGGAATTTCCGCGATGAGAGGAAGTCTAGATGGAATTAAAAATTTGTGATGAAAAAATAATTCCCCGCTGACTCCACCTCTGAAAAAATTCAAAACAGCCGAATCCATTCCAATAATCCAAATCCTCGGCCGAAGGCTTTCGTCTCAATTAAATAAATCCCCCGAAAATGGCATTTTAATGATCCCTAAAGACTCCATCATCTTCCAACCATTTCTCGCGCACTCGAACCCCCCAATTTCAGACTCCGAGTCTCATCTTCCCAGGTAATAACGAGACTTAATGACGAGATATTTCCGTTTGCAAGAGACAAGCAAAACAAAAACCCCAGAATGATTAACAGTCTTTGTTCCAAACGGAAAACAGAAGATAGAATTCTCAGAAGAAGACGTAAAATTGAATGGCGCGGATATGACAATCGGTTCATTTATCGCTCACCCTTACGATTCATTGAAAAATTATTAAAAACTATTGCCTATTATCCCTCCATTCATCCTTCTGGTTTTTCCAACAAATATTGTTTTTAAATTATGTTTCAAGCCAATGCATCATTTCGAAATCGATATTTCTCAACTAATGATTAAAATCCGATTGTTTTATCATTAAATATGAAAAATAACGGAGATAAAATGACGGTGGGAAATTTTCTTCAGAACCTTTTTTGTAGAGCTGATTGAGACCCCCAAAAAAAGTTATTTTAAAAATTTCGCTATCTCCCTTAGATTTTGAAATATTTTCAATAAACTAACCGAGGAGACTGGACCTAACTGAAAACCCCACGTCAATCCCCAGTGGTTTCTCCAAAATAACTCCAAATCCAAAAGAGTTATCGAAATTTTCGAAAAAATAATTTCTCCAGAACAGACTGCACTCTCCAAAAAATGTCTTGTCCAAAATTCCGCTATCTCCCACACATTCAAAGATATCCCCGAAGATTTAACCCACCACTAGCTTAACTCTCTCATTCCGGAAATCTAGTCAACATTTTTCACTTAATCGGTGATCGAGGCGCAATGATTGAAAAAAATTACGACGGGGGGGGGGGAGAAGGGGGAGGCATTGAAAAAGAAGACAATGGCTTCCGTTTGGATTCCATCGGGCTCTCAACTACACTCAAGGAGTACTCGGAATTCAAGCTACGTGGCCTGAGTTCTTTAATAACACTCAACGGAATCTCCACTCATACGGGCCTCCCCCACTTTTTTTTATTTTTATTTCTATTTTTTAAGCCTTCCAAACGTGCCCGGAAGTGAGCGAGATAGCATCGTGCATCAGGAAGCGATAATTCAAATTACGAAGATAAAAATTTTTCGGACGATCGACGAAATGAGAAAGGTCTCCATCACTTCCCATGGGATTTAATTTTTTATCAATTATTAATTTATTGATATTGTTACGTTTTTTTTTTTTGGTCGGGTGTTATTTTTTTTTGTCGGTGGGGTGGGGTGGGGTGGAGGAATTGGTAAAAAAAAATTTGCAGCGTAAGATTCCACGAATTTGGCCTTTTATCTCTTATTTCAACGGCGAAGGAATTTCTTTATTTTTTTCTTATGCCTCCTTTTTATTGTACGGCTGGTTTTCTTCCTCCTCTCTCTGTTGGGGCCAGGTGTGCACGTGGGGAGACCCGCTCTCGTCGCCCACGCGTATTCCAGGGAACCTTTAACCAACCTTAAGGTGCGCCTTCAGTGTTTAAAATTTTTGTATGAATTTTCACTAGGCCCGAAAGTACTTTCACGACACACGTCAATCTGACTGCCCCAATTATCGATTACGGATTTTCAAACAAAAAAAAATGTCGAGTGATGTAATTTAATTTTTCCGCACGCGGGTGGTAAGTGACCGTCGATACTACTTACCGTCCTAGGACGGGTAAAGCCCGAGATTAGGGTGGACCTGAGGAGTGAATACCACAGGACAAGTAGAAAAAATTGAATATTATATTATGTTATTGAATATAAAAAATTATTCGCAGAAAATACGAACTAGAGCATTTGATATAAAAATATGGAAAAGCTGAACAGAAATTGTCGTACTGTACAAAATTTTGTGATACCAGCGCGAAGTCGGGTATCAGATATTTGCGGAGTGTGCGGTTTGCAGGGAAAATGGGGGAGTCGAGTGGGAAATGTCATTTTCGGTGATGATTCGGGGTTTATTGCACCTGGGTATTGTTCCCTGGTAACCGCTGGTGACCTTGTCAAGGTCAGCCATCACACGCAAGTATTCCCTTCGTTCCTCTCGTTCCTCTCGTTCCTCCGATGTCTAGAGTGCGTGTCATACCTCCAATCCCCAAAAAAACAATCCATTCCACACATTATTATTATTCCTCAATTACTCAATTACTCAATTAACAATTAAATAATTCGGAAAAAAATTCCTTCAAAAAATTCCACATGCGGAGAAAAGATATTCACTATATCTATATTTTTTATTATTTTTTATTTTTATGTTTTTATGTTTTTCATTATATTTTTTTTTTTCGTATTTGTTCACTGAAATTTTCTGAAATTTCGGGAAAAATTGAGAGAAAATATTGGCGATAAGTATTATTTAAATAAAAAAATGTTCGTAGGAATTAGGAGAAGGTAAATTTTTGGGATAGTGGAGTGATAGGACGAGTGTTCTTAAATGGTTTTGTCAGGGTATTCGTCTACGTGACCGTTGCTCGACCTAACGGATCATCATTTCCCCATCGCGGAAGCTTCTCCCCGTCCCGATGAGAAACCTCCTGTGCACTTTTTCACGCTTCCGTTACGCTTCTTGGTGTGCATTTTCAGCCATATGGAGAGGTGAAGGGGAACTGGATAAAAAAAAATATATGACCAGTGGAGGATGTTGGAGGGGATCCATGAGAGATCTCTGAATGGGTTAACGAGTACGAGCTGATATCCAAGATCTCAGCTGATAACAGGGCCTCTTTGCTGAGTTTATTCACTGGGTGGTTGGATAACAGTTGAGAGGGAAGACAATAAAGTGGAGAACACCAAATTGGTGACAATTGATGGGAGGACAAATGCCTCTGCTCTATATATAGATTTACGGTAGGAATTGTACGGGGGAATTTTAAGGGACTGAAAGGGACTTTTTGCCGACATCTACGCGGTAATTAGGGGAATAATTATGATTGCTTGAGCTCTCAACTCTCATGATTGAGTTAATTTCGTATTTTTGGAATACGGGGGATTGCCCAGTTTTTTTTTTTACCGCAACATTCAGGAAAAATTCAGGAAAAATTCAGGGAAAATTTGGTATCGTCGCGGGGCGAGTGCAGGAGTGATTTTTAGGGCCTCGAGATATTTTTTGGGACTGATAGCTTGAAAAATCGGGCTAAAATACTGTGAGTACATATACATGAGAAAACGCGACTTACATAACGTATTTTGACGACCCCGAAGTTGGAGCTCGCGATAGCCAGCGCCGGAAGTGGCCGTTCCCCACTTGTCCCCTCACTCCTTCCTCCAGTGCTCCCTCATCTCTCTTTCATTCCCTGATCCCCACCAATTTGTTCTGGTAATTATTTAAAAAGCGATATTCCAGGGAGAAATTACGAATCGACAATGATTCATTAAAAAAAATATAAATCATCGGGATTTCACTAGCTCTTTGGGGTTAATTACTCAGGATTTCGGTGATTACTCTCATTACGCCAGGCGGAAATTGATTTTATGAATTGTTTATTCCTTCGGAGGAAATTTACGGAGGAAATTTCGGCGAGGGGACGGGGTGCATACCCTCGAGATGAAACCAGAATAACTCCAACATCCGGTGGAGTTTTTAAATCTCTGAATTTTGCACTTCGCAGCGGATGTTACCATTTTCGGCCGATTTCCGGTTGGGCTGAATTACTTCCGGTGCTTTCTGCTGTCGGGAATATTTGATTTGTTGGAAAATTGACGAGGAAATGAAATAGAGGGAATCAAGACTGAAGAATTGGTCTGGGATTGACGAATAAAAAATATAAAATACTGGAAACTGGATTTAAAAAATTTTTCAATTTCCCACCGGAAGTGATTGCGGATGCATTTCATACCCGGGGAAAATAATTTGGAGATCTCGGTGAATTAATTTTTCTGCTGTGAATAAATACCGGAAGAATTTCAATTTTATTCTCAGCGGATAAGGAAGATTTGAAAGCGATGTTTCGTCCCGCCAGTAGAGGCACTTCCGGTGCTCTGGTTGGCACATGCGCAGTAACTTGGAGCTCTTCACGCGTTAGCCAAGATGGTGAGTGGTCACGACAGTGAGAAAAGTGGATAAAAAATCCGTTGAAATCCCGAACATCCCTAATATTTAACTCAACAAATGTCACGATAATTATCGAGTGATAATCTGGGTATCGAGTAATTACAAAATTTTCGGGGTTTCCCGGATTTTTCTGATACTTTTGAATTTTTTAACCCACGTCCGGGCCACATCAACTCGTGTAAACAGTGGAATTTTATTCATGTTATTTATTCATTCCAGTCCACACACAAGAAGAAAACCAGAAAGCTTCGTGGACACGTGAGCCATGGCCACGGTCGTATTGGTGAGTTTTTTCGGGAATTTATTTATTTAAAAAATAGTCTGGAATTTTTGGGTTATGTCTGGTGGTCATGGGGGTATTTTCTTTTCTCAGGCAAGCACAGAAAACATCCTGGAGGTCGAGGTAACGCTGGTGGCATGCACCACCACAGAATCAACTTCGATAAGTACCATCCTGGATACTTTGGAAAGGTTAGATTTTTTTTTAAAAGGACATGAGAAAAATCTCGACATTAGCCGCAGTTTCCGAGGTTTTCAGTGAATTATTTTTTTTCGAATCAATTAATTTATCCATTTGTTTTTTTGCATTTCAGCTTGGTATGAGGAATTATCATCTTCGCAAAAACACCAAGTGGTGCCCAGCTCTGAATCTGGACAAGCTCTGGACCCTCGTGTCTGAGCAGACCAGATTAAAATACAAAGATGCTACCAACAACAAAGTACCTGTCATCGATCTGACGAAAGCAGTGAGTTTTCAATAATCACAATGATACATTTATTGAACAGAATAATATATTCAATTGAGAAAAAAATTCAATGAAAAATGGTCATTAATTTATGAATTTTTCTAAAGGGTTACTATAAGCTCTTGGGTAAGGGACGTCTTCCCAAGCAGCCAGTTATTGTTAAGGCTAAATTCTTCAGCAAACAGGCCGAGGATAAGATCAAGGCTGTTGGTGGTGCCTGCGTTCTCTCTGCTTAAATCCCCAGTGAGTTTTTCCAATTTATCTGATTCATTTCCCAATTACTCCACTTCTGTTTCACGTCACATATAATTACTAATATAATTGCATTAAAAAAAAAATAGAAATCCCTATTTTACAGTCATTAATTCTGAATGATCGATAACGAACGGGCGGTCTGAACAGTGCGTACAACACTGTTTTATCCTGTAGATTGTGTTCACTAACTGATTAAACCCCAAGAATACTTCAATTTCTTAATCATGAGTGAGGAATTCTAATGGAATTTTCTTTTCGTTTCAGGGATTCCCAGGATTATCTACTCGGTAAGATTTTTTTTTTAATCAAATAAATTAGTAATTGAAAAGATTAAATTGATGACATTTGAACGGGCGGTCTGAAAGTGCGTACAACACTTACCCCCTGTTGATTCGTTCTTACCTGATTAAATATTCCCAATGGTCGCCATTGAGAGCCTCTCCATGGTATTTATCATTCTAGATTATCTTTTTTATAATTTCAGGAGTTGACGAACTGATCCGAGGCACGTACAAATATCAACAATGTACTATTCCTAATAAAAACGACAGAAAACACAAAATATTGTTATTTTTTTTATTCTTATAATTCAAATAATGTTGTAATTGACATCATAATAAAATCTCCAACTGGAATTCCCTTTTAAATTATCGTATTAAAAAAAATTGATAGGGTGAAGTAAATTCAATGAGCAGAGATGGATTTTTTTCAGTGTGCATTACAAATTAATTTATGCGACGTGTGGGGGTGGTGGGGGGATTTGCATACCCCCTGCAAGAAGGGCTGGAGGAGGGGGTGGAACAGCGTGGAACATTGGAGGTCTGGGAGGAGGGGGTACTGGCATCATTGGTGGTTGCATTCCACCTCGGATCAAGGGCACAGGAGGTGGTGGTACTTTTCCAACTGAGGGCTTTTCATTTTTGAATGCGAATTGCAAGAAAAATTGCTTCGTGTCCTTGTTCCAGTGAGTCCAGAATTTTCCCTCCGCTTTTTCCACCTCCCTGGAGGGAACCTGAAATCAAATAATTCATCAGTGGAACAAGAAAATTTGGAATAGTATTAATTTCTTGAATCAGATAAAAGATAAGATTAAAAAAATTAAAACCGGAGTAATTACTTTAAAGGCAATGGTTTCATAAGGTTCAGCAGCGAATAAAAGATACTGCCATTTACGATCAGGTGGTTCCACTCTCTGTTCATAAGCTGACATAAACCTGTGCCTGGGGATGACGTTGTCAGCGACTTCAGGATAATCCACCTGAAACAGTAAACTCTGCTGTCCTGTCTCTGGGTCCCTCTGTTTCGTGACTCGATATCCGGGCCTTCCGATTTTCACAAATTTTTTCGGCTCGACCTTTGGTTTCTCAGGGGCGAGGGTCTGAGGTGCCTCTTTCGCCTCTTTGGCAGCTCGCCTTGCCAAATTCGCCTGGTGCTTCTTTCCCTGGGTGTGGGCCAGGTAACTCCCCTCGTTGTTGTGGAGTGTGAGACATAATTTGCATTCGTACGAGCCCAAGTGATTTTTCATAAAGTAGGGGTCCTTATTCAAGTCTATTGTCTCGAGGGCCAACTGACGGAGACGCTCTCGACGGTCCCGATTACTCTCCGACCACGAGGCCACACCTCCACCACCCGTTTTACCCCCAGGGCGATTTTGAAAGTCCATTTTCTCTCTAAAATAAAATTTTTTCGGACCATTTTTCGTTGCGCTTTATTTCGAGAGGTGTCAAATAATTGAGTTACAATTACATAATTAGGTAATTATTTATTTGAATTTTCGAGCTTTCGAATCGATGCCGAGGAAGAAATTACAAGAGATTAGAAAAAATTGAGAGATTGTTAATGATTTTGGAGAATCATTTGGAAATTATTCGTAGGATATTGGAATTATTTTCGGACGAATGACACATTTTACTACTGCTTTGCATTAATTATTGAATTGTTTAGAAATTGATGTGTTTTTAAGGTTAGACTGACGCGTCAATTGTTAATAAATGGACAATTAATAATTAGGCTTACAATGATTTAATTAATCTTGGGAATATCGATTTGGTCAGTTACAGGTGTAAAATTGAAGAATTTTTACTCACAATAATTACGTCAGTCACAGAACAACATAAATTTTTCAGCTGAAACTCCGAAATACACAGAACTTTTCCTCTCAAAACTCAAATCGCGTATGCGCGATACGTTCATTTTTTGGCGCCAAACTGTCGGACGTTCAAACGCAAAATTTCGTTCGATTTTTTTTTGTACTCGAATTTGAAAGAATTTCTTTTTCTTCTGCGTGACCAGAAGAATTCTCACAGGCAAGTACTAGAAATCAACAAATAAAAAATTAAATAAATAAATCAATCACGTGGAAATAAACCAATAATTTATGTAAAATAATTTATATGTATTACATGGATAGTTTATAGTACATTCGACAGGCTAAAAATACAATTTCAATTGCTGTGATTTTATTGTTCTCGATTTTTCAACTGTAAAATAACCAGAGTGATTCAGTTATTGACGTGGACGATGGAGAAGAATACTCGCCAAATAATGAGACCTCATTTATTCATCGAGTTTCCACTCCATGTGCAAATACCGAATCGATGTACAATTTGTCCCCTCATTGCCGACAAATTCCATAACATAATACTGAATCGCAGATCTCTGCATCCAACAAGATCAAAAATAAGTGGCACGTCTAATTAACATCGAACAATAATCGGAACATATTGCAAAACCCCCGAAAACAATCACCGAAATATTACAAACAAAAAAAAATATACAGGAGCAAAATAAATACTCATCACGGAGGATTTAATCTTGAGAGAAACTCAATAAAAAAAATAAATAATATTTACATTTAATGATTGTCATTAAAACTGAATATATAAAACGGGATCTGTAATATTGCATACAAGTTGTTTGATTGCTGATAATAATTTGAATAATTATTGTTTATAATAAATATTATTGCATAAGAATTTTAGTCGGTAATTTTATTCGAGTTATTTTTTCATCTGTGTTATTATCTGTTCTCGTTGGATTTTTATTGTTGTTTGTTATTTAGACATGCAACCCAAAGGTATTACAAAAAAGTGAGAGGGTCAATGGTTCAAGGTAAAACGAATCCACACTCTATCCATAATAATTTTGCCTGCACTTCAATGTGAATCAGCGAAGTCCAATGCTCAGCATTGTTATCACTTCCTCAGATTTTGTTTAATGAATTGTACTAGCTACATGTGCATCATCGCATAACATACGTCAACCGCATTCCTCCTGTTTTTAATAATTATCATAAATATTTAGAGAGGTAAAATCGACAGAGAAGCAGAGACGCGATATTGAGAAAATAATCAGCAAGTTGATGTTACTTTACATCACTTTCAAACGTTTTTTTTTTCCTTTCCATTTGAACACCTTTGATGTGTCCATTGACACGCGTGAGTGCAGTCATATATAATTTTGTTTCCATTGTTTTTTTTTTTTTGGCGACTGTCTAAATGGATACGAACAGAATTGAGTTAATTTGTTTAATGGAATCTACGAGATCGGGGGAATCTCGAAGTTGACACTTAGATTTGCCGAGTGAGCGAGTTTGACAATTGTTGATAGCTTCACTGCTACACGGGCCGCCTCGTCAAGGTCATCCACTGGGACTATCTTCAACCCGGCATTTGCGATCAGAGCTTTCGCCTCGTCTACGTTTGTTCCCTGCAAAATTTCCAATTTTATTCATATTATTATTATGTTATCATTATTTGCAAAAAATAATGATATTCGAAAGAATTCCTTAGGAATGATCCACTGAAAAAAATAAAGTATTAAAAAATTCTCTCGAGTCCAGAACGTAAATAAATAAATTAATGTTTACCTGTAACCGAACGACAACTGGAATTTTGAGATCGAGCTCCTTGGTCGCAGCAATGATACCCTCAGCGATGACGTCACACCTCATGATTCCACCGAAGATGTTGACAAGTAGTGCATGAACCTAAAACAATAAATAAATAAATCAATGAGATTAACACGAGAATCAATTAATTTTCATTTATATTTTTTTTTGTATAATGCACTGAAAAACTTTTTGTGAAAATAATTAATATTGACGTTGAAATTTTGAGAGTTATTTACCCCAGGGTCTGAAGTAATAATTTTGAAGGCTTCCTTGACAGCTGAAGCTGTGGCACCACCACCGACATCCAGGAAGTTGGCGGGCTCACCACCGTGGAGTTTAATAATATCCATGGTTGCCATAGCAAGACCAGCTCCATTCACCATGCAACCGATATTGCCATCGAGTGCAATGTAGTTGAGATCGAACTTGGCTGCTTCCACTTCCTTGGGGTCTTCTTGGCTCCAATCACGTAGGCCAAATAATTGTTTCTGTCTGAATTCGGCATTGTCGTCAAACCGACATTTGCAATCTAATGCAAAATAATTGCCCTGGATATCCTCAGCCAGTGGATTGACCTCCAGCAAAAGGGCATCCTTCTTCAAGAACATGTCGTAGAGATTGAGAATTATTTTACCAATGTAGTCCTTGACATTGCCAAGACCCAGTTTCTCAGCTATGCGTTCAGCTTGATCTTTAGTGATGCCTTTCTGAATGTCAATTGGCTCGTACATTATGGCACTGGGATTCGTAGCTGCTACCTCCTCGATGTTGACACCTCCCTGACTGGAAGCTATTATCACAGGACCACCGAATGCTCGTTCCATCATGACAGCGAGGTAATACTCTTTCCTGGGGAACATCCTCTGTGCCACCATCACAGCATTGCATATTCTACCACCCTCACCAGTCTGTTTAGTTATCAATAATTTTCCTAGCATCTGGGCAGCAAGGGCTTTAGCCTCTTCAGGTGTTTCACACATTTTAACACCGGGAACACTGCTGTCCTTGAAGTGTCCTTTGCCCCGGCCACCAGCCAACACCTGCGCCTTCAGCACGATATCCTTGGTATTGAGGTCAGCAGCAAATTTTGCTGCCTCTTCTGGAGTTTTGGCAACTCCGAATTTCGGGGTGGGAATTCCAGCTTCATTGAGAAGACTGTAACTTATGTGCTCATGGACATTTAAATTCCTCACCGACTGCTTTCCTATACCATTTTTGCACGCTAAAATCTGGAAAGATTCAATCACTCAAAAATCATTCAATCAAATCCTCAAAAATAGTGCGAACACAAAATGTCAATTCACATGAATTCAATTCAATTCAATTTTTAATTCGATTTCCATATTTTCGTAACTCACTGAATAATTGCATCAATTCCTCCTCCATTAAATAATTTTTCACTTAAATCACTCAATTGACATAATAAAAAAATAATATTTTAATTCGACTTCTTCAAAATAATTACGACAGATGCAGTGGCCTTGACGATGAGATGTTTAAAAAAAATGATGACTTCATAAAAAAGAGGTAGCTCGGATTGAGCGATTTTCCGAATATAATTTGCACAATTACCCCCATAAACAAATAAGTTACATAAGTGTCAGTATGTCAAAAAATTGGGTCAACGATGAGGGAGAATGTTGTGACAAAAGGCACCTCAAATCCTTGGCTTCGAATCATCTGACCCTGGCGCTCAATTTAGCATCGAACTAAAACACTGTGCCACGATAATTCTAACATGGAGTTCGCCCACGACTGTAGCAAGACGTTTATTTCCACGAAATTCCGTGAGAATGGACACCGATGGAATTGTTAAGCCATTGTAAAATCTTATTTGCAATATTTTTTAGTGATACTTACCTTCGAGCCGTTAAAACGTGCCAAATTCTCGGCAATTGATATCGTCCGGGACAACATGGTAGCCATCTTTCTACGCCGATGGCAATGGACTGCGGATTGTCAATCTCTCCTGTTACTCGTGCTTCCCCCACTATTTAAACTCCCTGTACTTTAACCAATGATCATTTTTTCCATCATTATTGCCAGCTATTATGACGTCAGGTAACAGTTGGCAGCTTCAAACGAAAAAAATTTGACAGCATGACTCTTATCATATTGTTGGCTACATTAAAAACCCATGAAATTTGTTGTTTCAATAAAAATCTGGCTTTTTTATCAATCAATTCTCACGCGATTCGAAATAATCTAGAGGATTCCCCATGTATTCTCGAAAAAGAAAAATCCAAGGCGGTGGGAAAATTCATTATAAATATTTTGGTTTTCCAAATCATCTGGAGAATTTCCGGAGTCATCTGTCATTGCAAAGGCGACATATTTGGTAGTACAAAATATATTTATTTTTTGATGAACCATTACACGGAATTTCGAGCGACAAAAAAAATTGAAATGTTTGTCTTTCTGGTTGAAGAATAGGTCAATATCGAGGTGTGATGTCATTGAAGCGTCATCGTCAGCATTTTGTGAAACACCTTGAGCGATTCTTATCACAGCCCCCATTTTCTTTTTTATCTGTCTTTAAGGTGATGTTGATATCGAGATTCATGGATCTCGCTAGCTGCACCATTTTAGCGACCTTCACAGATGTCTCAGCAGCCTCTGACATGTCATCCATTGGGATGATCTTCAATTGAGCATCTTGAATTAGCTTTCTAGCCTCCTCCACCTTCGTCCCCTGTTAATTAATTACGTAATTACCTTCCCAGCTGATTGGGAAATTATGACTGATCGAATAATCGCAACAGGCCTTAAACCGAATTTTTCATTTCAATCTTTTATATTCGACAGAATTTTTTTTATTGGCAGCTTATTATTATTATTTTTGTCAGTATAAAAAATAGTAATTAATCACCTGCAATCGCGACACCACGGGTATTTTCAAATCCAACTCCTTAGCAGCTTTAATAATTCCCTCTGCAATCACATCGCACCTCATGATGCCTCCAAAAATATTAACGAATATCGCATCAACCTAAAAAATCTTGATTACTACCCCAAAAGAATTTTATAAAAAAAATGTCTTAAAAAAAAATATCAGGAACTGATTATTCAATGAATTTCGACTGGTGAATAATTTTTTACTTTGGGATCACTGGAGATGATCTTGAAGGCTTCCTTGACGGTTTCTGCACTAGCCCCACCCCCCACATCCAGAAAATTCGCAGGCTCTCCCCCATTGAGTTTTATAATATCCATCGTAGCCATTGCTAAACCCGCGCCATTCACCATGCACGCAATATTTCCGTCCAATGGAATATAATTCAAATTAAATTTCTCCGCCTGAGATTCCCTAGGATCTTTCTGGGTCCAGTCTCGCAGCTCAAATAACTCCTTCTGACGGAATTCCGCACTGTCGTCGAAATTACATTTGCAATCCAACGCATAATCTGAGAATAATCCGCATTATTCTAAATATCTTATAATTATCCTCACGATTCCACTAGATTAATTAAAAAAAACTCACAATCACCGCAGATATCCTCGACCAATGGATTGATCTCCAGAAGAAGAGCATCTTTTTCGATAAAAAGTTTGTAGAGATTGATAATGATCTCCGCAATAGCTTTTCCCCCTTTCTCCTCCAGTCCCAATTTATCGGCGATTTTTTGGGCCTCATCTGGACAGATTCCCTTGTCAATATCGATGGGAAAATATGCGATGGCATCCGGACGACTTGCAGCTGTATCTTCAATGTTAACACCGCCTTCTGTCGATATTATGACTGCCGGCCCCTGTTCGAAGTCCATATTCATTACGTCAATTGACATTCAACTCCGATTATCATTATCATTATTATTATCTCATTCTGTATTTTTATTAATTAATTCCTTGATTACGAGAGTTCGGACATTCATAAAATCAGTGGAAATCGAGTGGCTTCCATTTCTGGTTGAGATTTCAAGTGATTTCTCGGTATTACGGAAGCAATGGATTTAAAAAATTACTGGACCCCGCGCTATGAACTCGTGAGATTAATTCATGTCGGTTTATTATAAGGATTCAGTGAAAATTACGCCAAATGATCGTTCCATCATCACAGCGAGGTAGAATTCCTTCCGGGGAAACATCCGGGTCGTTATCATCACTGTGTTGCAAATTTTTCCCTCGGGCCCTGATTGCTTCGTCACGAGATATTCTCCGATCATTTTTTCCGCGTTCACGCATGCCTGCTCGGGCCTAAAAAATTGTTTCAAGCATGAAGTAATTCAGGAAGATTTTGATAATTTATTGAATGACTTGCTGATTTGTAGATTTTTAAGTGGAATTGGTGTTTCTAAAAAATAGGGACTAGTCACTGAGAATTGGAAATATAAAAAAAAACTCACGTGTCACACAGGACGACTCCACCGATATCTTTTCCCTTGAAAGTTCCTTTTCCTCTGCCACCGGTTAAAACCTGAGCCTTCAATACGATATCTCTGGAGTCGAGACATGTCGCGTGTTCTGCAGCTTCTTCTGGGGTTTTTGCAACTTTGAAGGGTGGGGTAGGGATTCCTGCTTGATTCAAAAGGCTGTACGCCACGTGCTCGTGCACGTTCAGCCTCCTGATCTGATCCTTCACGAGTCTTCGACCCTCCAATAACTGAATCAATATCACTCAATCAATAATCGATTTATTAAAAGATAAGTCACTGGCAGAGTCGATTCAGCTAGTTTTTGAGGTGTACTTCTGAATCTAGAGGAGATAGAAAATTTTTGTGTGAACCTGTTTTGCAAAACTCAGTCCACTCTACAAAAAATATCTTTACAAAAATTTTGATTTTTCTCATAGATTCAGAGATATCTTTCAATAATTCCGCGTCTCACGTGTTATCGTTTCGCTACTGAATTGTAACGAATGAAGCGTAATCGCTGAATTACTCCGAGTCTAACAGAGATAGTGAAATTTTTATTATGACCTTTTTTGTAGCTCTTATTTCACTCTATGAGAGTTGATTCGCGAAAAATTTCGATATTTGTGGTAGATTCGGAGATATTCACGAGTGAATAATAACGAATAAGTGTTACTTGTCGCTTTTGGATGCGGCGAGTCAGGCCGGTCAGCAAAGCACGGGCGGAGTGCATGTCGAATGAATTTCCCAGTTATAAATAAAATAATGAACGCGAGTGATTGTTCCCACTACTGCATGAGCGATTGCCACCCCATACTCTACCCCCGCAATAAAATATGTAATGAGAATATTGGAGAGGATTTCGTGCCCATATTCAAGGCTCAGCACTGAACTTTGACACATTACGAGCTTTTCTGCGATTAAAAACAAAGAAAAAGCGCTATCATTTATTTTTTCTTTGTAATCGTCTATTCCCCTTTATCAGTCATTCATTTATGAGAATTTATCGTCTAAATCGCGCGTGGAATACATTCGTCAATTTCAATATTCAAATGCATCGCAATTAAGACGAATTGAGATTTACCAAATATTTTTCCAATAATTGTTAAAAAATAAGTAAGTTTATTAGACAGATGAATAAAAACCCCTGAAAAAAAAATTCGAGTTTCATAATTTATTTTTTTAATTTCAATAATAAAAAATCAGTCAAACTTCCATTTGATTCCTACGTGATACAAGGTACATTTTCAGTGATTATCATTAAATTAGACAATGTGGGATTGATTGAATATGAAAAACAAACACAATATCCGATAAAATTCTACGGAATAATGTTTATTCAATGCTCCAGTGTAATATGTTCTTAATCATAAGCTTAATAAAAGAAAGATACAATTTTCCTTGAAATCGCACAAAATGAAATGATCCTAAAAGCTAAAACGAATTTCTTACTCTTAGCAAAGATGACAGTGACAAATCTTAAATCGCTAAATTTATGGTGTCCAGTTTATACACGAAGAAAAAACTACAGCCTCACTGTATTAAACTCAAACGATTGTTTCATGATTTCAGTAATTCGTTTCGATAAATTTTCTATACATGTACGCACATAGATGCGCGCTATTCAGCTCTTAGTACTTATTTTCTTGTGGAGAAAAAAAATTCTCAGTGTTTATTTTCTTCAATATTTTTTATCTGCAGTCTTCCATAACGTTCAGTAAGAGTGCAGAGCACTTATTTAGAAAGTGAATCTGTCATTGAGGGTTCGTCCAGTGACACCCAAATTATTTCCAACGCTATACATTACTTCACTGAAAGTACGATCATCGACGTTTGTATTTGAATGGATCAGTGGAACTGTTCGGGTGCGTGATCGTGATCGTGAACGAGATCTGGAGCGTGTGCGAGGACCTCCAAAGAGGGGCCCCCTTGCCAGCTGCTAAAAATTCAATAATTATTTAATATTTTCACATCTGATTATATGATTTTTCCTGAAAACAGCGAAGGAAATGATATAATAGCGAAATGATAAGGGGAAATTAATACCTGAGTGAAATTTGTTGGATTCTGTCGGAATGGGGAACGTCCTCGTGGCAATTGACGTCGACTCATACTTCCACCTTGACTCATCGAACGAGAGCGTGGCCTGGGGCTGTATTCATCTCCCAATGTACACATGAAGTTCACGTTGGGGTGTGGGTTGACTCTAGCAGCGCTGGAAAAATTTTTTACTCGTGATAAAAATTCGATTATTTATCGTGATAAAAATAAATAAATGGGAATGCAGATAAAATTCACGATTACAAATAAATGCCAAATCATACTTCATCCTCAAGAGTTTTTGGTTGTATTGTTGTCGCCTCTGGGCTCGGAGGATCTGGTCTGAACGCAAGCCACCGGCGTTGAAGCTCCTCTGGGAGTTCAGGATTTGCTGGCGTCTCTCTAGCGCTCGCTGTTGCAGATTTGTCAAGGGTTTGGCTGCACGCGGTACCTGAGACATAAAAAAAAAGAGGTGATTAGAATTTTTGGATGAAAAATCGCAACTTCAAGAGGGACTTCTAGACAAAATATGTTTAACAGAATGATTTTAATAAAAAAATAAAATATCTTGACGTGTCAATAAAAAATTATGGACATGAAATAATTACCAAACGATCATTGGGCACAAGTCTCTGACTCTGGCGTTGAAGAAGCAATTGTTTAGCCCTCTTGACACGATTTCTGTATGCAACCTGTGCTGGACTCTGATATCCAAGGCGATTGTAAACAGAATTGGGATCCCTGAGGTTGGGCAAGCTGCTGACCCGTTTGACTCCCTTAGGCTGTCCAGTAAATCTTTTAGCAGTTGCAAGATTATTTCGACTCCTGGAGCGCGTGAGGCCCGGCTTAGCCACCCCACGAACAGCACCAGCTCGCCTCCCAGGGAATCCCTGCCTGTTATTCTGGTTCTTCCTCTCATTGATCTTGATATTCTGCTTACTCTGGACTCTCTTGGTGCCATTCTGCTTATAACGTTGTGCCACAAAGCCACCATTGCTCTGTTGACGCTGTAGACGCCAAGCCTGGCTCTTCTTTGGTGAATTATTCACATTTTTCTTGTTCTTATTGGCAGGCCCACGTCCACGTAAATTATTACCCTTTCCCCGCTGGCCACGCTGGACATTACCCTGACGATTCTTTCTCCCTCCACTCTTACCGTTCACCATTGTTTTTTTCTTTTTATCTTTCCTGTCCAGCTTTATGATGTCATCTTAAAAGGAAGAAAACGGTTGGATTTGTGTTTTGTTTATTTTTTTTTTCTGTGGGTTGATTTTTTGTTTTTGTGAGCGTACGGCCTCAACAGCGATTTCTATAAACAAATTATCATCTCATTTTCGTCAACGCGTTAATCACGAAATTCAGTCACTATTTCAACGACTCCAATTATTCATTATTTTGCTTTTCAGGGATCTCTGGACAGTCGTGTCCTCCACTGCCATCAGCCCAAATAAATTAACGAAACGAAAAATATGGGATTTTTAAAAGGCTCCCGAGACTGGGAAATGAAACGATTGTTATAAAATAAAATTATACAATAAATCGATTGGGAGTTATTTGTCTGTTAGAAATGAATATTTATCGTGCTCCTCATGATCCAAATTATATCGACACTCGATCCATCTCTCCGTGTTTTCTCCACAACTCCATCGTGACAATTCCCTTCGTGAATCGAAACAATTCACAGATGATGTTCGATGATTTATTTATTTAAAACATCTCGTGTAATCTAGCCGAAATGGTCGTGACGAGGATATCCCAGTGGATTGATCACAAATGAAGCACAAAATAGGTGACTAAAATCGTCGATGGATATAAATTATTATTGGATACATCCATATTTGGTTATTGGAATGATAGCCGCCATATTGTTGGAGCTTTCACCGAAGTGAAAACAATATCTCGAGGATTTCACTGTCGTCTCCACTTCACCAATAAAATTCAGTAAAATCCTCACCAATTGACGATAAATTATGGAATCGGTAGTATATTCAGTTGTGTGAAACATCTCCCAGTCGACCATACGATTTATACATCTCGGTGCCTAAATTATCTCATTAACTCATCGTGTTGATTATCCGTTAATTAGGGTCAATCAAACGTTAATAAAAAGCCTTGAAATCGCTGTCGGGTTTTATTAGCATCGGTATTATTCCCTGGATTATGTCGTTCCTTCTATTGCGTATTTATGTTGAATCTCTTGACCATTTTGAAAACAAGAAACAGCTCGTCATAATCCGCCATTTTGGGTGCAACCTCGTTTCTCTCGTTATTTCACTCCCAGTCGTGGGGGATTATTAATAGTTAAGGTTGTTTTATCAGTAATTGTTGTTTTGGGATTGATGCAGCCGTACGCTCACGATTATTTATGCTCATGGGTTTTATAGATCGCGATGGTTTTTGGCTTTTGGCATTTCGATACGATAGCCACTTACCGAGAGACATGTTCACTTTTGCATCACCTTCCGCCATTTTTCTGGCGTTTTTTTTTCAATGGCTTTTGTGGATCTCTTTTTTTTTTCAACTTCTCTCTGGCTTTTACCCCGGATTTACGCGGAATTTTTGGGTTATCGTTTTTGGGAGCACTTTACACAGATTTTTTAAAGTAATTACCGACTGGACTGCCAACTGCGAGACTGTCAACTCCTTGACTTCGCGATATGGCAGGGATGACTGACGCTCGAACTGATGGAGGAGAATTTCCAGCGTCCAGAGACAAAGACCTGGGTAGAGGTAAAGAGGATTGACTAAAGTAGAGGCTCAGTTCTGGGGGTTTGAGTGACTCCAGCGACATCATAGTACTGCACCCTAAAAGAGGGAGGGCGCCTCGCGCAATGGGGGTGTCTGTCCGTTTTTCAAAAATCGATAAAAAAAATTTTTTGTGAAAATTCCCGGGAAAACTCGTGATTTCTTAGTAGAGGACCTCTCCATTAGTCCAAAAAAATATTTAATTCAATTAAGAGAGGAAAATAATTTTTTTTTCATTACGGATACCTTCCAGATCGATAAAATATCCGATTTCTTTTCATTTGTATCTGCCAAATAGTATCTCCTCGTCCGTTAGATGGCAGCTGAAACACTGAAAAGTAGAATAAGAAATATTACCATATCACGGTAAAATTGCCAGTAAAATTAATTTCTAAACCAAAGCAATTGATAACGCGAGTCTAATTCTGGAAACTTGGATAACGCGATTATTCAATAGAGGAACAATTATTTATTTATAATTTTTTAATGCCTGCAGAGGAGAGTTGGCAGTTGTAAATGATTGATCAATGGGAAATCATTGATCATCCCTGATTTATCAGGGCGAAGATCGAGTAGTCAATTCTCATCAAACGAAAAAAATCAATTCCCCTCCCATGAAAACCGTGAGATAACGAATTCAAAGATTCCTCTTATTCCACCGTAATTGGAGTGGATCACTGAATATTCAAAAATTATTCCACGTGAAATCACAATGATCGTTGCAGTAATCTCCACAACAGAGTAAATAATAAACAATCGGTGAAAGCCAAATGTGCGTCACATGCGAGTGTAGAATACGCGTGTCATCTATGCAAATTCCACTTCAATTCAGAAATTGAAGGTCTACATGCGTATCAGGGATTCAGTTTTTCCAATTATCCATCGACATTAGCATTTGGCAATTAACACCGAAGGCTTTGAGAACGCCAGGTTTGCTTTCATCATCGGAATGAATGCAACCGACTACCCCAGGACTATCGTTTTTCCATCACAGAGTGCGTAGGTTGCAGTTTGAGCTTTTCAATGGCTAGAATGAATGGGGAATCCCCGGATTGACTAGGCGATGGATGGGAAATTTGTCAGGTGATGGTCAGGCAATTGGTGAAAATCGATAAGAATTGTTAAGACCATCAATTGAGATTGACTAGGTCTTGGCTAGGTTCTCATCAGGTTCTATTCTTTTACGGTCAATTTTCTCACCAAGTCAGTAGCCACTACACAACACGTCATTCGACACGCACTACGTGACGACTTCCCACATCAATTCTCCACGAAGCGTGTCCAAACGCTCTATTTGCAATTTCCACTTTGTTTTCTCATCCATCAGGAATTAACTCCCAATCCGAGAATAATTATCGTTTATCGTCAGTGAAAATGGCAGCCAAAAGTTGGAGGAGAGCGATAAGCTCTCATTATCTTTCGAGGATGAACCGAAATCTCTCCAGAAATTTCGGATGAGCCAAATCCAGTCCATTGACCTGATTCTCCGGGATTTTTTTCTGGAAAAAAAAATCCACGGTTTTTATTCCGCCAATCGGTGGATAAAAAGCGTAAGGAATACAAACGAACCAAACAGATTGGCTTGAATTCATGTTTTTTCTCTTGCTCGGATGTAGGCACGCCCGACGTAGCCTTCTCTGTTCTGAAAATAGTACCACGGAAATCCTGGCCTCCATGTTTGCCACGGCTTCTTCGGGGTGTGTATTTGCAGCGCTGCCTGAGAAAGCAAATGAAAACTAACGTTCGATAACTAGAGAAAATTGAATTAAAAAAATTATACCATTTTTTTATTCCAGCAATCGTGAAAATTTCCGCGAAATCTCGCGGTTCGTTCTGGCGATCACTCATTCAGTTGGATTTTCACGATTTTTTTTCTAGTGCCATTTGGCAATCGATTTTCATTCTTCTTTTTATAGGAGGATAATAGTTATAATTATTTTTAGTGAATGGAGTTGTTGGTTGATTATTGAATTATGGATTTAGGAATGTGATAACAATTTGGATTGGAGTCATGTTTTGTCTAGACATCCAGTTGTTTTTATAATAATTTTGTGATTTGTTTTTCAGTTGGAGAAACACGAGACGTTTGTACCACCTTCCTGCCGATTGATTGAAGTTTCGTATATAAAACTCATTGTGTATTCCTCTGATATACCGAGAGTGCAAGTACGATCGAACGGTCTCGTCACGATTCTGTTTTCGTTCTGTCGTAAAAACTTTATTAACATGTCGTGCAGTTTTATGACGAGTCGTACTCGACCAGTCGTATTACTATCGATTTGATTGTGTTATCAGATTAGGGGGCAGGGGTATTATATCCCCTGGACATGACAGGGGATGGACGATATTCCTGGTGCAGCGATAATCAACCGGTCATTATCTGAAAATTACCGGAGATGATGATGATTCCATAATGCGATGATAAATTCATCAGGAACTCAGGCCAAGGTCCAGTATGGCGAGAAAAAATTCTCGGATCGACAGAAATTTTCCGAAAAGCTGTGGAAAATATAAGTTTTCTTATAACAAAAATTATAATTCATTTTTTATCTTCGATTTTCTCTGTCAATTAATCGCCCTCAATTTTTTTTTTATTTTTTACTGAAAATTTTAATCCTCAAACTTTGGAAAAATTTTCTTCAATATTTTCCAAGGATAATCGTTGAGAAAAAATTACTCTAGTCTTCAATCTATTTGGAGGAATAGATTGAATAGAAGACGGTAAAGACATGAATGAGTTTCATTGTAGTTCATTATTTGGAACGAAAGACAATTAAAGATGCATGAAATAGCACGTGCTGGGTCGTTCCGAGTTGAAACTGCAACAGTTAACGAAACGATCTCATTGTCGATGTCTGCCACAAGCATATAGATCGTAAAAGACCGGGTGTTTTCATCCCATTAAACATCACCAATGTTTCTTCAGTGTTTCGATATCAAGATTAAACCGTACCACATTATTCAACACGCTGGCAGAGTCAAAGGCCCCATGCGGGCTTGGAATAATATTACGGTAAGCCGGACTGATCCACCAATTGATCGACAGGATATTCCTCCGAAAAAACACTCCAAAAACCGATAATCGCGATCCAAAATAAAAATCCTTATTTTCTAGGAATTATTCCCGAAAAATTCATTTTATTACAAACTTTATTTTATTTTTAATTATTTTAAAAAGTTACGTTTTATTGAAACTTCATGAAAAAATCATGATTGAATGTGAGAATTAAATGAGTTCTGAATTTAAATTAGCCGCCTTAGACTGCGCCAATGAGGAGCAAGTGGCGTTCGAGATATCGATAGTCTCGATGTTTGTTCAGGTTATGGTAGAAATTTTTTTTTCACTGCAGATCCAGTGGGCAGTCGATCATTGTAGCTCGCCGGTTCGTGCAGCTGTTGTCACAGGCTGTGGATTAACGGTACCACCGATGAATCTAATTTGAATGATATCGAAAGGGCTGCCATCCACAACCAATGAGAAAGACACAGTCTATTGTCGGGTTCAATTGCCCCCAGCGAGACGTCAATGCCCGCATGAAACCCAAGATTCGATATCGCATTTTCACGCGGCAAATCAGCCCCACATTTTCCCCCTGAAAATCAATTTCTTCCCAAAATTCAAATATCCGTGGGAATGCCATCAATATTTCAACGAACGGATAAATAAACCGAGTCGGCAACTCTCTGAAATATTTGGGGGTTACATACCGAATAACCTTGTCTGGGTTTAGTCTAAATGCGTCACGGTTGTAACCATGCAAAGTGCTTTTGCGAATTGGCCCCTTGTTTCGCAGAAATTCACACGAGAGGTTCATCTCATTGAAAAGAAAATCGCCATCAGTGGGATCCATCGGTGATCATGTTACCTGAAAATATCGAAAAAAAATCGATGACGCGATGACAGATTTAACTGTCAGACCTCGGGGGGTGGCACCTCCCCAGTGACGAGGAAAAATTCTCGGATTAGAAATTTTTATTTTTCAATTTGATTTTCAATCGAGTGAAGAATTGATATTTTTCGAACAACGGAGAGGATATCTCATTAGCCTTCGATGATCTACCCTGTTCTGGCGATAATATAATGCCCTCAGAAGCAAAAGGGCTCCGCAAAAATACAAACGGGTATATTAATTCTGGCCGGCAATAACGAGTCGTGCGTTACTGATGGCTTTTGATATTTGTTGCCAGTCTCCACGATAGTCGCGTTACCCTAGACTTTTTTTTTCATCCTCTCTACTCCTCTCATTTTTTTTTTTTCGGAATACTGCGAATAGCCCTGGGCGTATTTGCTCTGCACTCAGCCTCCCTCGTGTGTGAATACTAATTAGCCGACCATGAAAACCCTCTCCTGCCCCTGAACTACGTCTTGAATCATCTATTATTTTTTGGGAAAGGCTCAAACGAATCCCACGGGATTCAATCCCTCGTTGTTAAAAATTTGTTTAATTAAAAATTCGCAATGTGTCATGTTCTTAATTTACGATTGCATAAATAAAAATTCTCATCATCTTCAAATGAAAAACAATTAATCCCTGAATTTCCATAAAAATTCACATTGACTAACAATAAAAAATATCATTATTCCAAATATCATAATATCAAATAATAACAATTAAACACAATTAAACACAATTAAACACATTATCATTTATATTATATGAACATTTTCTAAAATTCGTGACATCGAAAAAATTTTTAAAAACAAAATTAATCCCCTGAAAATTCCAAAAATTATTTCCCGAATTTTTGGGAGACCGGATAGTTGCTCCTGAAGATGATGTTCCTCCGGAAGCGAAACCTGGTGAAAAAGGTGACCCTGGTGGACCGGTAATAATCCGGCAGATACTGCACTTCAGTCGTTATCTCTCCTAGTTAACAATTAACCCAAAATAAAAAACGATCAATTGTGGTTTATTATAGCGGTACGATTAGAAAAATAATTCCGGGTGGCTTGTGCAAGCGGTTAGCTTAACGAGCGTGTACGAATGACTAAGAGATTCCTATCTGGCCGCTGGGCCAACTGTGGGCGGTAAACGTCAGACTGCCGCGCGTATAAGTTGTTTATGGCGGTTGATACGCGGGACCCAGGAAACTTTCAAGTGGAAAAGATGGAGAGAGACGGAGAAACACTTGGTGGGCCATAAATTTTTAGTCCCTGCGCATCGTCTGGGGCCCTTTCTGTTGAGGGTGGTTCGGGGCGATTCCCGTGGTGTTTCTCTGTCTCCGATTACCGTGTCCTTGACGAGACATTCTGAACCATCCTGGACACAGCTGAACCACCACCAGATTTTCTCCATTGACGAGCCACTTTTCCCCACTCGTCACGAAATATCCTATTTTTATTCCAAAAATCATTATCATCAAATCTCTGTGCAAATGCAGAAAAAAAAAATCACAGCGAAATTGATTTCTGGATTGAATGAGAATTGAGGGTGGAGGGGATAACGAAAAAGTAAAAGCCTTTGTTTTTTATAATTAAATAATAATAAAGTGTATTAAAAAATCGTATACAATTTTGATTACCATACGCGGTAATGGACAGCCGTGTTTCCCCCTTGGATACGACTATCCGTTTATTCAATACGAAAATCCTGGCGGGGGGAGGGGGTCCGGGAAGAAATATCTGGAGTTGCATAAAAAAGATGGAATATTGGAGGGAATGGGGAAAGAGAGCCAGAGAGTTCCACTTAAACAATCGAGATGACATGCTGAATTTTTGGTTCTACTTCTCCCCTTTCTTCGTCTTTCGATCGATTCATTTATTGACATCGTGACAGTTATCGCTTCATTAAGTGACTTACAAATTTTAATCGTTTACAAAGTTTCTGGTCTTTCTCCTCCATCTCGATTTTCGCCTGGGATTTAATTTTCTTAGGTTCTTGTCTCTCCTCCGAAGTGATATGTGAGACCAACTCTCAGTGACATTCCATTTTATAATTAATTATCCCTACACATTCACTCACTGCGTCATTATCCAAAAGATTCTTGTTTCCTGGAGAAAAATCTCGTCCATTTTACTCCGAGGTCGGAAAATCGTCGAAGCACCAACCGAATTTCCACGAAATAAATTAATTTTTCATTTATTGTAGAAATAATCAGAACTAAAATTCTTCTTTCAGCTTGTGGAAAAAAATCGAATTTTTTTTTTAAATAATCGATGATTTTTCCATGGCAATAACGATTCTTTTACCGCACGCGTGTTATTTCTGTTTTTCTCTCCCGTTTAACTCTAGACACCAATTTTTTTTTTGTATTTTGAGGCAATTTCTGGTTCTCAATGGGCGTATGTCATATTAGTCAGCATGATCTGAATAGAAAAGTAGATTCGGGGCTGTTGAAATTTTTTGGATGACAGCATAAAAAATTCGAGACGTTTCCAAATAAAAATTGAAACCCGAAATCATACAACTGACTCTCCGATTAATAATTTCAAATGCATAACCAATTTGAATCACCCAAAAAAATTCCAACAGCGCGTGAAAATTTCGTCTCGATGGGAAAAAAAAAACGTAAAATCCCTCGTACCTCCTACAACACCGGAATTACCTGGAAAGACTTACAAATTTATGTACTTATGTATTTAATAATTGTTCCAACTACACAACTATATCGGACTGTGTTAATGTTCGCCTCACAAAGATCGAATAAAACCCAATTGTGTCTGTAAACCCCTTAAATCACGCTGAAATCGCATGTTACATATAGTGTAATGTTTTCTACGGTGCACGTGGCTGAGTTCTCCCCACTGATACATTTTACATTTTCTATCCTCAGTTTCACCTGAGAAAATAGCTCACAGCGAAGTACAATCGCGAATGGGGAGTGGATGAAGAAAGGGACTCTGGTAAGGTACCGGATAAGTCTTTAATATCTCTTCATCTATTGACGATTCTATGGTTGAGTACGAAAGAACATTATAATTACTGATATCTCTGAATTTGCGGTAAAAAAACATTGGGATCTACACAATTTCCCTGTAAACTCACACACAATTCGAATCCTAACAATCCCTCCTTCTCTATTTCATCTGGACCCTGCCAATCTCTTGAACTCTGTACAAAGAAAATTCTTCCACCTCTATGTACATTACCTAACCTCTAGAATATATATTTACATTATAAACCTTCATTTGTCTGCTTCTAACCTATACACTTTCCTTACCGCTGCCCCCACACCGTCGACTTATCAAATCGTTATCACCGATAAAATCGATAAATTGACGATAAACCGAGGTGAGAGCCTCTAATCAGTACACACCTATGCGTAAACGGCTAGTAGATAAATAGACAATACGAATACACATTAGACGGACATGCACTTGAGTCCACGGAGACACACAAGTATAAAGTATAAAAGAAAATCAGATAATCGCAGCATAGATTGCATAAAGAAGGAGAGATGCCAACTAGAGGGGCCCTATACCGATCATTTAGATTAAAAAACACACATACAAAACATCGCATTCTCACGTTCGCGCAAACTCACTAGCCAGAGTATCTCAATACGGCGTGTCTTCACGGACGGTGATTCCCCGGCTTCGATACATGACCAATAGGGCGGTTTTCATGAGCGACATATTTCCCTCGCCCCTCGACGTACTGCAAATAAATTTAAAAAATCCTGAAATTCTACACATCAATTTCAGTTTCAAATCGTTTGAGATTTCAATTTTTCGGATGATTTCTATTCACATTTATTTGAAAGTTACTCGAATGAACAACAGGAAAATTATCGTCCATGAAACCGACCGCAAAATTCAATGGAGGAACGTCGAAATGACAGATTTATCAAATCACCGCTACATTGACTCCCGGAGTTCGGGCACTTCCATATTTTTTCGGAGTCCCTCGTTTATACGTATATTCGGCAAATATTAATGGCAGTTTAGTTGTTTGTTGTTTTTCATTGCATTCCATTCGGTTGCGTTCTGTTTCTCTACTCACACACAGCATTATCACTACCACCCGATAACGGGTCCAATTGTAGATCAGACATCAGTAGCTTGTGTGTACGAAGGCGCTAGGCCATGCGCTGGGGTCAATGGTCCAGTTGTTGATGCCAATGATCTTCTCGAGTAGATAGTAGCTGCTGAATGTGGTGTATGGGGCGCAGTGTGTGCTGGCGTATGCCTCCTTGAGGCTGAGGCGAAAGGCTAAATGGGTCCGTAGTTGCTGAGAGCTGATGGCCTCTCGTGCTGCAACTGATTTTGCTGCTGGGTGTCGCAGCCCGCTGTATTCATATCGCCTCCCGCCGACTGGTGACGTCATACGTGCGAAAGCGGTGGCTGTTTGAGGACATGATGATGAAGATGATGTTGAGAGGCACTGGCAACGCTACCAGGTGGTAATAAAGCACTGCCCGGACCGGAGGCAGCATAGCTCGGCATCATCGAGCGTCCCTTCATGCTTGCACTGCCAATACCACTGACACCAGTGACACCAGCCATACCAGCATTGCCACCAGCAGCTGCACCACCACCAAAGAGACGTCTCCAGAGCCTCCGCCAGGAGTCCACTGTCTTGCCACTCCATATCCAAACACCCGAGGTTATTCCCACAGCAAGTGCCATGAAGTATTTCAGCATGAGAACTGAATAGTACGGCCTTGTCCGGGCCTCGCACTGACACGCTATACCACGGAGCCACTCAAGCCGGAATGATGACTCGTACAGGTAGCAACCGAGTACAGCACCAGCTGGCACTGTATACAAAACCGAGAAGACACCGATGCGGATCATGAGCTTTTCCAATTTGTCAGCCTTGGCTCCTGGTTGTCGTTTGATGACTGATCTTATCCTGAAGAGGCTTACAAAACCAGCGAGCAGAAAGCTAGTCCCCAACAGGAGATAGACTAGAAGTGGTACCAGAATGAATGTTTGTACACCACCAGGTGCGACTGTACAAACACCAGCGACTGGATCGCCCTCGACACCACCAGCCAAGAGCGCCCAGACAGTTTGTGCTGTGGGTGCTAGCCAAGCGGCTAGATGAAAGTACTGTGAGTAAGAGGCTATGGCCTCGTTGCCCCATTTGAGGCCGGCTGCCAAGAACCAGGTGAAGGCGAGTATTACCCACCACACGGACGAGGCCATTCCGAAGAAGTATATCATGAGGAAAACAGTGACGCATGCACCGGGTCCTTGTGGCCCGGACTTGAGGGCCGGTCCGTCGCATGCTATTTCCTCATGGCCCATGACACTGCGCGCCAGATATCCTAGAGATACCACGAAGTAACAAGCAGAGAGAAAGACGATGGGCCTCTCTGGATACTTAAAGCGTTGTGTGTCGATGAGAAATGTGGTTACGGTTGTGAGTGTGCTTGCTGCGCATAGGCCGCTCCACAGGGCCAGCCAAACGGCTGCGAATCCCCTTTCCTCGGTGGTGAGGAAGGCTCCGTGGCAAGGTAGGGCGCAGTTCTTTAGAACATTTCCATTCCCCAGTGCAATGTCTCTGCTTACCATTGGGCCGATCCCCCCGGACATCGGTACTCCCACCGCGTGCATGCTTCCGAGAACCGTGTGGTCGTTTCCGCCGACACTTGTTACCCCCAGGGGTACGAGTGGTGCTTTGCAACGGCACTCGCACTCCCTTGTTCTGTCCCCTGGAGGATTTTGGCAGTTTTTTTGATTCTTACCAGGTTTGCAGCGTGCTGGAGCGGTTTTTGATGGTCGAGTTGGACGGGCCGGTCCAGCAGCTGGAATTGGTGGACTGCTTGGATGACCCGCACCACTACCACCGCTATTGGCGTGATTGTCCTGCTCCATGCATAGATTCTCCGGATCACCCTGGACCGGGAGCCGCTCGCAGGCCATTCTCTCTGGCCAGGAGAAACCGTACTGCTGCATCAGCGGTGCACATCCAGCTCGCGCCCTCTCGCAGACACTTCTGCAGGCCGGCAATGGTTTACTGTATTCCGGAAGACAAATCGGTGTGTACATCGAGCAGAGGAAGAACTTGAGATCCGGCGAGCACTTGATCTCCACAAGTGGCCAGAACTGGTGCACCTCAAGACCCGCCTCCTCCTGGGTGTCGTGATTCAATTCGTTTGGCATTGCCGTCAGGTTATAACCTATTCCTCGGCACATCGGTATCGTTATGTCCTCACATCTGCCATTTCCGTTAGAACCAACGCTCATCACTGAGTGACCGATGGTACCACCACCGAGACCATTTCCTAGACCACTTGCACCACCTGCACTGCCACTTGACGGCGATCCTATCGCTGACGATGACACGGGTGATGATGAAGATGATGATGCTGATGAAGATCCTGACGATGGACCAACGCTGTTTGCCGGGCCCGTTGCGGATTCCGATCTGACATTTGGTACTGCTGTCACCGTGAGGACTAGGGGAAAGAGAATGAGTAGAATCGCTGGCATTCCTCCACTGGTCAGCGGAACTCGGTTCCGTCCCATTGCGTCCTCCGGATGATTTATAACTGGTATGGCATCACTCCAATCTGCAACAATCAAGGGGTTTTCGTTGTAATTTCTGATCAATAGAAAAAAAACACTTATACGGGATCCCAAGGGGATAAATAATAATAAATAATCTCGGTAATTTACTTCGCTGTATTTCAGACTTATGACTTTTACGCGTGCCTTCGGGTTCTTATAATAGAGATTCAACCGGAACACGTGACCGGAGTGAAATGTTATTGTACGGTGATCGTGTTAGTTCAAACGTTTGTTAAACTTTGAAATGCACGCTTATAGCAACTCCTACCCCATCTTGGTGGTGATATTTATATCGCTTGGGAACTCCGGGCGTACGGTATTATTCCCATTCATTTATAAGGTACACATCATTCTCTCTTCCGTGTCCTACGTGTGTGGCTTTCAATGGAATGAAAACCGAAGAATAATAATGAAGGAATATGACAAAGCTCATTCTTCAAATAAGCATTAAGGGCCTCATCAGTTGTCTGTATTTGAAATCGATGGCTCTTCTGGTTCTCATGGAAGCGAGAACAAGTATTCATGAATTGAAAATGTTTGAATTGTCCTTTTAAGAAAAATTTCTATATCTATATTGTAATTATAAAAAAAAAATTAATAAAAATGGTGTGTGAACATTTGGAATGTGTTTCCGAAGAATTGATCAATCATTTCCTCTCCAATTAAATGAATCATCATTTTTTGTTATTCTAGTGACAGGGGATATTTGTCCCAGGGGTCCCTTTCGCACCACTCGACGTCGGAACGTGCGATTTGTGGAGAGGGAAAGGTACGTCTCGGTCAGGATAACGAGTCCTTCAGCCCTGAGGGTTGCACTGCTGCAGCTATTACCAATACAACTTGATTCCTGTCATTCTCCACGGCACCAATCTCCCCCACTTCATGTGCGAAACCTTTTGCACGTGACTCATGCGAGGGAGCAGCCGTCGCCTGACAGACCACTTGGTCACGGTAGCACCGGTGGATAAAAAAAAATAAATAAGAGGAAAGAGACAAGAAAAATAGTGTGCACTCGCGTTATCCACCTGAATCGTTGCAATATATACATCAGAAAGCTGCTGATGGTATTCCTGGAATCTGGATGAGGTTTCCCTGCACGAATTCCTCGCTAACTGCACGCAATAGTCCTCGGTTCCTGGAGAAATGAATTTCAGGGATGGCGGTTGTATCGATCCGCGAGTTCTTGTGGATGGTGGATTGGCGACGTGGGGCGAGGGGTGGAATTTCGAGTCGTTTTATTTTTTAAACCCCGAATAAAGATTTTTTCATTCTCTTGAATATCGATTTATCGGAAAAAAATATTGATTTTTGAAAAAAATATCAAATTTTTCGAGTCGATTATAAAAATATTAAACATTTTTTTTTTATTAACATGAAATGAAAAAAAAATTAATCAAGGGAAATTAACGAACTAAATTAATTCGTGGTGGTACTTTTGGGGATGATTTAAAGGATAATTAAATTCCTGAAATTGATGAAACCGTAAAATGAGAGATTCGATGTTTCGGATTTTATGAGGAATCGTTTTAATGAGAATAAGAGGTTGAGGGTTTCTCGAATTGCAATTAATCATTCCAGTTTATATCACTCTCGTATTTTCTCCGTCCTCTCTACAACGAATGTCCCGGGGGTGTGCAATAACTTCCCATTAGCCCACCGATTTTCAGTATTTGGCTGGAGTTTTCGGTGGGCGAAGAAGAAGAATGTTGTGCAGAGGGGAAAGCTTCAGCGTTCCTTCAACTGCCATGAATCAGTTTTAGAAGGTGCAGTGGTGCGGAGACTGTTGTTTGGTGTATGATATACTTGTCTCGTATGTAAATCATTCTCACGGTTGCAGTTGAGTCGTGAATTTTCAGTCTCACAAGTCTCGACTCACAAAATTTCATGACACGTCATCTGACCGTCACCTGATCGTCACCTGACTGTCACACGATCGTCCAGAAAAAAACGAAAATGTTTGAATGAAAATTTGCATTGAACTCCCTTCAAATTATTTTTGGATTATCATTCTCCATTCTCCAATCGTCAATTCCTCGCTAAAATTACCGGTTAAATTACTATTATAAATTAATTGCAGGTGAATTTTCGGTGTAACGGAAAAAAATTGTTGGTATTCCGTAAAGCGTTCAGGGGAGATCCAATTGCTGCGAAATAGTAGATTCATACGGCAATAAATCACAATGTGGTATTACGTAGGCGATGCAAAGTTCGCTAATTGGCCGAAGGAAAAGAATTCTCGGTTGGCAAATAAATTCGATGGCCTCCCTTCTTCGTGTTCTCCGTCTCAACGAGATATTTTCGCATAAATTATCTTTTACCACCTCTTGTCCTGCACGCGTCTTTTCCCCGGGATTTTTAACTTCTCAGGATGAGGAGGATGGCTCCAGGGTGAGGGAAAGGGTTACTCCGCGGTGTCCCGTGGTGTTTTTTTAAGAGAACCTGGTTGGCGCGATATCCTGGTGATGTTGGCAGTCACGAGGCGACAGCTCAGTCTGGAGCTTCTCTCTTTCAACTTCGCGGGATTTTTAATGGATGTTGCTGGCAAGTTCGTTACCTCGCGGCAATTATGATAAACATCGCAGGTCTCGTTGACGCTTTTTCTTTATTGCTGGTACTGCGGATCAGATTTCAATTCGAGGAAGATTATATCTGGGATTTAGGCCGGGGCATCATCGATTTTTTTTTATCGTCGAAAAGGTTTTCGGGTCAAATTCAAAATTCATAACAGCGGATTTTTGAGGCGGCGGGGGAAGTGGGGATTCATATGCTAATTGGAATGTTAATTTTTTTTTTAAATATCGTCATCATTAATTAAATGATTTATAAACGATGAACTTCCAAAATTTTGAACGATTAAAAAACGAATTCAACCCTTTCTTCATAGAATTTCCCCAGGATTTCGAATAAAAAAATTTCATCCAGACCCCTGGAAGTTATCACTCCCGAAGATGATGCCACGACTTCCCCAGTCCCAATCTACCCCGATAACATCTCAACTGCCGAAGAATTTTATCACCGCATACGCGGCAACTCGCGTCGTCGACCGGAATTCGAGATAACGAAAAATATATTATGCAAAGTAGATGGCATCAGTCACGTTTTCCAATGCCTCAGGTTTCCGCTACCTGAAATATCTCTCAGGTATCAGGGGCCAAAGTTTTGTGAGGAGGGAAATAAAACGGGTGTCCGGGGACAGAGAGCGTGGGTCGACGACAGATCATCCGGGATAAGAAACCGAGAAGAAGCCAAAGCCAACTCTAACCAGGAGACAAGAGAAAATTCAAGAGATTTATTTCTCTCTTGTAAGCTTTATCTATCCAGTTCTCATCAATCTAACAACATGGCCTCCGCCAATCCTATCCAGTCATCTTCGACGTGGGACGATGATTTACCACCCATGGGCCTCACCCTTCACATACTCAGTCACCAAGATGTCCTTCAGTTCGACATATTTGTTTTATTCTAATCAGAAAATTATGAGAAATTACAATATCATTTTTTTGAGGTGCAAAAATATGATTTAACTGCCCAGAATTTTTACCCATGAGTTCAACAATTTTTTTGTTAATTTTTTACTCGAGGGAAAATTCTTGAAAAAATTTGCAGGCCTATAATAATTATTTTGAGATCGCTCAATCGTGATCTTGTGGGTCGTATATCGTTCTGACGGGTAGATCCACAAGTATCTGGTGATTAATGATCATATCCTTAGTCTCAAGTATTGGCCAGTCGTTTCTTCAGTGAATCGATGAATGCAATTGACCGAGTAATTATCCCCGACACTCGTACATTTCTCTCCATATTCGTCGTCTTTGCCACTGAGTTGTCGCAGCCTCTAACACTTCAGACAAGAAGTTCGTGGAGGTGGGATTGGTCGCAGGTGTGCGTAAGCGCAGCTTCAAGTATCGACCGGGTTAGGGACCCCTGCTTGTGGAATAAAAAAAATGTACGAGAAGGAACAAACTCTAGACGGCTGCACACCCGTAAATCATCGGATACTAAGCTCACCGCATTTCCCCACGGATCATTGCCGGAAACCGTGAAACTACCACGAGAGAAAAAAAACCGCGAAGATGATCTTCGTATCTGGATTAAAAAAAAATTGTAATCGGAATATTTTTTCCTAATTTTCAAAAATTTTTTAGAAAATTTTGCAGATTTTTGTTTTGAAACAAAAAAAAATCGCGGAGCAAAACAATTGTATTTTTGGGGAATGTTTTGAGAAATGCTTCAAAAATTTCTTTCGGAAAATTTTTTTTATCATTTTCTAGAAATTTTTGCGAATATATATTTTTTTTAAATTATATTGTTGTTTTCTTACTTTTTTCATTTTTCAATATTCTCAAGAAATACGCCATCTATAATTGCGAAAATAAATTTCCTATTTAAATTTTTGTATCCATTTTTCCATGAATTACTGATTTTTCAAATAAAAAATGGCGATAAATTCCCCATAAATTGGCGGTTGTAAAAAATATTGCGTTTTTTCATTGAAATTCCAAGACTAATTTTCCAACAGCGCAGCAACATTTGCTGTCAAGTAAATAAACAAGCTCTCCCTCGATATGCACTATTCAATTTTCTCAGATAGAAACTACACTCTAAAACAAGATATTTATCAATACGAAATGATCGGTGTGAGCCAGTGGGATGTGCTAATGTTTCCCCGTAAATATTTCCATGTGTGTTTCCATGTGTTGTCCGATAAATAAAGCAAGTATGCCCGTGTAAAGTGCTCTCGGGAACTAGTATGACTGTATGCACCACGATAACCGGAACAATTTATTAACACCCTTTCTGTATATACATGCGCGGAGAAAAAAAAAGTTTAGAAAAAATCACGTGACAACTCGTGTAATCGGTGGCGAAATTCTACGATTTTTTTTCGTACGATTTTTCCGGTAATTCAG